CTGTTTGAATTTGATTGAATTGTTTTAATACCTGTGAGGAGGGGAAAAAAGAGTTAATTCAGAAAAATAGCAAATCGTAAATAGGTTTAACCAAATAATTAATCTTTATTAATACTAACTAACTTTAATAGATTATCAAACTCAAGTGGATCCACTACATTAAATTAACTTATTTCTAAACTAATTTCTAAAAATTTCTAAAAAGAAATAGGAAACAAGAAATTACTTTTATTACTTACCTTTTATTATTTGTGTGATTATCCTTCAATTGATTCATTGTTCTGTGTTTTGTTTGTCTTATAGTAAAGTGCCGGTTTTTGTTTCTTAAATCTGGTCTCTAGTCTAATTTTATGTTTATTTCTCCCACTCCTTGAGAACCTAGAGCTGGTCCAGTAGTTTAAGTGTTGCGTTGGAGTACGCAGGTGCTACACTGACTAAGCGAGACTAGCTTTCAACTGCACAGAATGCTTCCACTATGAGAGAAAGGGGCAGCAGCGCTGTGATTCTACCACTTACCACGTCCCGTGTGAAATGGCCTTTAGGCCAAAAGTATAGGCCTACTTGTCAGCATTCCACTCTTCCACTCACAGAACGCGCAGGCTTTAAACACATTTGACAAGATTAACTATCAAGACTGATTGGTTAACGCTTTTTGTCCCCTTGTCAATGTCATGTTAACTGATGCCAAATCAGAATGATGCACTATTTTAACTTAAATCAACAAGTAGAATTGACCATGACATCCTCACCTTATCTTATTCCAGAAAAGTCACTCAACCAATGCTGAATGGAGCTCACATGAATGAATGTTGGGGTTGGGGAGAGAGAGTTCATGTCTGAGCTATCTGATACACGAAATCAGCACCCTCATAAGGAGGTTGACTGGCACAAAGTACTTTATGTATTTTGAAAATACAAAAATACTGATCTTAAATGTATTTAAATATAAAATACATTCGATTTTTTCCTAAGGTTTTAAAATACGAAATACAAAACAGTATTTTGTATTTTAAATACATATATTAAATACATGTATCTGAAATACTGCCCATCCCTGATAATGTATACTGCTTTTCAGGTAAAAAGCATGCACATAAGAAAGAATATGTGTGCTTATAAATGTATATACAGTATTTACATTAAATGAAGTCTAAACTAAATCTTGATCTCACCACCTGTGGAGCAAATCAGCTGATGATATGAACTTCTATATACTTACTCCAGGTGCAGGTTGTGAGCATCCAAATATTAGACTTTCTTCTTTCAGACGAATCCAGTCTGAGTTATATTAAAAAT